AGAGATTATTTGGCACATGGCACTGGGCCCAGCGATATCAAACTATAAATAAAACAGGACCTGGAAGACAGTGCCTCCCTCTGCCCAGCTAGATCTTTCTTCACAAACAACCATTGTTCTCTTGCTCTTTTTCCTTTTGTACAAAAATGCAGAGTCCTCATGCGACTTCCAGGCTCTCCATCCCCCATCCAAGTTCCCAGAACCCCCTCCCACTCTAGCCAGAATGGAGACAGCATACATTTACTCTCGCTTCTTACTGCTTGCAATGGCCTTCTCTTTCTCCTCCATCTATAATAACCCTAACTGTCCTTTAAGATCCTGCTCTAGCCCTCCCTTCCAGTTGAGTAGCACCTGCCATCTGTAGCACCCAACTTTGCTCTTAAATTTATGTTCCCTCTTGAATTCTCTTGGCTTCAGACTACTGTGTACCCATAAAATCAAACTAGCAACTTCTTACTGCTTGCAATGGCCTTCTCTTTCTCCTCCATCTATAATAACCCTAACTGTCCTTTAAGATCCTGCTCTAGCCCTCCCTTCCAGTTGAGTAGCACCTGCCATCTGTAGCACCCAACTTTGCTCTTAAATTTATGTTCCCTCTTGAATTCTCTTGGCTTCAGACTACTGTGTACCCATAAAATCAAACTAGCAATCCACCTATCTCTCTCTCTCTCTCTCTCTCTCTCTCTCTCTCTCTCTCTCTCTCTCTTTTCTCTCTCTCTCTCTCTCTCTCTCTCCTAGTGTTTACCTAATTAATGTTTGCAGCAACACTTTGATAGTCCTAACTGAATGGCACTAATAAATACGGAGCAGGGAATTGATACAGTGAGAAATGCCAAAGGCACTCACTGTCTCCCAATCAGCCCAGCACCCTAGAATCCCTGCTTCAATATGTCATTGGAACCCTGGTGCTTTTAATAGGAATGTGAGGTACAGAGCTTCCTGCCTCCTGAGGAATGGCAGGCATGTTCTCCCGGGGCCACTGGAGAACTGTTCTTCTTTTTCTTAGAAATACGTGCAGCAAAAATCCCCAGGTTATGCAATCACTTTGGGGAGCAACTGTCAATCCCTAGTGAAGTTGAAGGGGTTCACACCCTATGATACGCAGTTCTACCTCTACATATCAGCCCTAGCAAATGCCCACATGTGTGCCAGTGGCTCTCACAGCAACATGGTCTTTAACAGAATGTGAGTGCCTTTAACAGTAGGGAACGGACTAGTGGTGGATGGACTAGCAGTGGTTTATGAACTCTATAGAGTTGTTAAGAGAAAGTATATATGTGTGGGTAACGACATGGATAAGTCTCGAAACACAATACTGAGTGGAAAAGTTGTCAGAAGACTACATGAACTATGTTATCATCTTAGTAAATTTTTGAAACACATAAAATGACTATATTGTTCATGGATGCAGGAGAAGTATAAAAACATGGCTGGAAATGATACACACCAAGTGCAGAGCAGTACCTACCCCTGGGGGAGTAGGGAAGGTGAGGAAAAGAGGTAGTAGCTGGGGCTCTAGGTTGGATTTCTTTGAGAGAGCATGTGGAGAGGAAGACATGTTCCTGTAACCTCCCATAACTTTGAAGGGAAAAGAAAGATTTGCTGGTCTCTGGATGCCCTCTTGAAAGGCCAATGTAGCCCTGACCGGTTTGGCTCAGTGGATTAGAGCCTCAGCCTGTGGAGTGAAGGTTCCCGGGTTCAATTTTGGTCAAGGTCATGTACTTTGCTTGCAGGCACAGCCCCAGTGGGAGGTGTGCAGGAGGCAGCTGATCGATGTTTCTCTCTCATCGATGTTTCTAGCTCTCTATCCCTCTCCTCTCCTCTCTGTGGAAAATCAATAAAATACATTTTTTTTAAAAAAGAAAGAAAGAAAGGCCAATGTAACAGGCTCGGCCCTCCTTCCCCATCTCTTCCAGTGCCGGTGTGGGCAGGACTGGAACCTTTATCGCGTTGGACCGAATCCTCCAGCAGTTAGACTCCAAAGACTCTGTGGACATCTATGGAGCAGTGCATGACCTACGGCTTCACAGGGTTCACATGGTGCAGACGGAGGTAAGAGTCACAGGCGGAAGGACACAGACCGCGCTCCATGTCTCCCTCCAAAAGCCCCCAAATGCCCGAGGCTCTAATCTGAGAAGGGGAAATAACTGACTCATTGGGAAGAGAAAGAGCATGGAGGACACAGTTTGTCTAGGACTTGTCATTTTAAATCTCAGGGACCTTCAGGATGATGTGTACCCTTCTCTTCACTGAGCTGGTTGCCCATCTTCTGCCGGTGAGTGGGTAGGAAGACAGATTATTGTGATCAATGCATTATACCTGGGAGGAAGGCCAGGCCATCTTGAAGATCATTTTCAGATTGGGGTGAGCACAAGAACTTCAGTTAGTAAAGAGGAAACAGATTCTAATCTCTTCTCTCCTCCAGCCCCCCACCCAGCTGCACCCCCCCAACTCTGGAAACACCAAAGAGGTGTACATTGATTGGGAAGGATAAGTGCATCCATTGGTGGTCCTTTGGCATTTGCAGGGCATTTTTGAACAGGTTAATTCATTAGATTTTCACCATAACCTGATAAGAGAGTTATTATTTCCCATTTCCAGGCTAGAAAACTGAGGTTCAGAGGCTTTGGGGTATAAACAGCTGTGTAATGGCCAGACTGGCACTCGAACCTGCTCTAGAGAACCCGGGGCCCTAAGCAGCAAGTCCACTGCCCACAGCCTCTGCGCCAGGCCATGTCCCCACACAGACCAAGCATGTCATTTCCCAATTAATTGCCTTCCAAAGCCCAAGTTCTCTTACCCTTCTGTTTCCTAGGTAACTCTGCAAAATCCTCTATTTAACTTTTTTTGAAAACTCTTTTATTTTTCAATTACATTCCATATTATGTAAGTTTCAATTGTACAGCAGATGGTTAGACATTTATATAACTTTTGAAATGACCTCCCTGTAAGTCTAATACCCATCTGACACCACACATAGTTATTACTAACTAGAAGCCCAGGGCACAAAATTCGTGCACGGGGGCAGGGGGAGGGGGGGTGTCTCTCAGCCTGGCCTGCACCCTCTCCAATCTGGGATCCCTCTCGCAATCTGGAACCACTGGCTCCTAACTGCTCACCTGCCTGCCTGCCTGCCTGATGCCCTTAACTGCTCCCCTGCTGGCCTGATGGCCCAACTGCTCTCCCCTCCTGGCCTGATCGCCCTAACTGCCTACCTGCACTCCCCTCCTGGACTGATCCCCCTAACTGCCTATCTGCTCTCCCTTCCTCTCCGCGCCATGTGGACCCCTGGTGCAGGTGTGCTGAGAACTCTCTGCTGTGGCCCTGCCCCGTCCTCATTGGTCTTTACATGACGGCGTCCCGTACAATTTGCATATTCCTCTATTATTAGTATAGATGTTATTGGCTCTATCCCCTGTGCTGTCATTTACTGATATACATCCCCATGACTATTTGTAACTACCACTTTATACTTCTTAATCCCTTCTTCTTTTTTACCCAATCCTGCTCCCCTCTAGCAACCATCAGCCTAGCACCCTAGTTCTCTGTATCTATGAGCCTGTTTCTGTTTTGTTTTTCACTTACTTTGCTCTTTATTTCACATATAAGTGAAATCATATGGTATTTGTCTTTCTTTGTCTGATTTTTTTCACTTAGCACAATACTCTCCAGGTCAATCCGTGTTGTTGCAAATGTAAGGTTCCATTCTTTTTTATGGCCAAATATTGTGTATATATGTACCACACCTTCTTTATCCAGTTGTCTATCAGTAGACACTTAGGCTGCTTCCATATTTTGACTATTGCAAATAATGCTGCAATGAACATAGTGATGCATCAAAATCCTCTATTTAAAAAAATAATTCCTGTCCAGCCAGTGTTGCTCAGTGGTTGACCATTGACCTATGAACCAGAAGGTTACATTCAATTCCTGGTCAGGGCACATGATTGTGGGCTCAATCCCCAGTAGGGACATGCAAGAGGCAACGGATCAATGATTCTCTCTCATCATTGATGTTTCTATCTCTCTCTCCCTCTCATCTCCTCTCTCTGAAATCAGTTTTTTAAAAAGTAATTTAAAAAATAATTCCCATGGTTAAAAAAGTGGAACGTTCTACATGCTCCTGTCCGTGATTACAGCACACCTGGAAACCATGCAGCAGCTCTACTGCAGCAGAGCTCCCCTGAGCTTTTTGAAATGCACTATCCCAAAACCTCCTTGACCCCGAATGCGGAGCTCATACTCCGTGACACATTGGGAAAACACTGGTGTCATTGCCTCCTGCAGGCAGTGCCCACACCAGGGATCCTCTCCCACCACCACTGCCCTGGCCCAGGAGTGCTTTCATTAGAGCAATTATTTTATTCTGGAGTTTTTTAAAAAATACATAAAACTAGGAAAGATGATATTATGAAATTCCATCTACCAAAACTCAAGCTTCTGCAATTATCGGTATTCTGTGTTCTTTTCTCATCTACATCCCACATATCTGGTTCACATGCCTTCACTGGACTATTTTAAAGAAAATTCTACTTATCACATCATTTCATCTTTAAATACCATGTGTGCATGTGAATGTGCAAATTAAAAATATGGACTCTTTTAAAAATTACAATCACAGTATCATTATCAGACCTAACAAATCTAATCATAGTTCCTTAATATCATATAATATTCAGTCAATGTTTAAATATCCCTAATTATGTTAAAAATGACTTTCCATACCTGGTTTGCATTAGAATACAATGCCCACACATTGCATTTGGTTGAGGTCTCTTTTAAATCTCTTTTAATCTATAATGATACTCTCTCTAGTTTGTTTTTCATGCCATATATTTGTTAAAGAGACCAGTTCATTTGTTCTGCAGATTTTCCCACATTCTGGATGTGGCCGACTGCGTTTTCCGGGTGGTAATGTGTCATCTGTTCCCCATAGTCTTTGTCTGCTAGTGTGAGGCTCCCTTAAATTCAGGCCCCTTTTTACCACCACAGTGCTTCACGGATGGATGGTGCTGAGTACTTCCTGTTGTATCAGGTCAGGAAGGACTTCCTGTCTGTGTGAGTCTCTGTCAGTGCAGATGGAATTGACAGTGACATCCACTCTCACGTTCCCCATCAGCTTTTCACTTAGGGTTGGGGCAGCCACTGAGGACCACTGTCTAGCTCTGTTATTTCATGAAGGGTGGCAGAATTACGTCACAGTTTCATACCAGTTATCCATAAGACTGCGAGTTCCTAGAGGACAGAAACATGTTTTTGTATATATATAATTTTCTATTAAATGAATGAACAAATATTTCACAATTACATTGCTAAAATGTCAGTGCCAATGTTTCATTATTAGTTTCTCACTTCTGCAAACTCAAACCGATACTTAATTTGTAATCTTAAGAAAAGGAGATTATCACCTTTGAAGTAGTCTCAAGGTGTGTGTGTGTGTGTGTGTGTGTGTGTGTGTGTGTTCAGACTCCCTGGTTATTGTTAGAGGCCTCTGTGGTCATGTGTCCCTTCCACACACCTGCCCAGAGCTCTGAGCACTCCCTATCGTAAATATCACTGGGTGACTTCCAGGGCAGGGGTACCATGATGTGCAAAGCTCGCCCTCCTTCTCTTGGACATAGCTCCTTTTCCCAGTCTGTTCTCCTGCCTCTCTGAGGATTTTGTGGCTCTGGTCCCTCAGGGTACTTCTTCACGGCTTGATTTCCCTGAGGTTCTGTCCTCAAGGCGCTGCTCTTCTGCCTCTACCTTTATTCTTTGTGCTGGCCCCCACTCCCGTACACGCCCATGTTTCCCAAATCTCATTCTCCTTTCCCAGCATCCCCCTAAGCACCTGGCTGCCAGACAGTTCCTCCTGGAAGCCTTCCAGTCATCTCGACTCAAACAACTCGTCACCTGTCTTTCAAACACAAACCCAGTGATAACAACGAAAGCACTGCTGCTCTCGCTCCTTTCGGTTTCAGGTGACAGTGTTTCCGTCCCCCTTGCCCTCCATCTGATCACCTAAGCCCGGGGTCTGACTTCTTTTCCCACAGTTCTCGCATTCAGACAGCCACTGAGGCCTGTCAATTCTGCCAGCACCTTTCTCTCTGTCCTAGTCACTCACCCACTGCTCCTGCCCTTGCCCAGCCTTTCCCAACCCTCACTGGGCGTATTGCAGTGGCTTCCCAGTGAGTCTGCTCTCTCCAGCGTCTCTCCAGACAACCCCTCATCACCACTGCCACCAACCAAGTTCTCTAGCTAACTCACTCTTGTAACGCCTGGCAGAGAAATCTTAGAAGGCTCTCCATCACTTGTAAAATGAAGTTCAAACTCTCATCCGTATGTCCAAGCCTCTTTGTAACCTGGCCCCAGCTTACTTCTCCATGTTCCTGTCATCACACCACCCACCCCCATGGTTTTAAGGTCGTTCCCCTCCCTGGGCCAGGATGAACTTTGATTCCTCGATTCATGATGAAATCAGCATTGCAGGAAGTGGGGATTTTCTCTCTCCCTTATTTTTCCCCCAATAGCAAATGAAATCCCAAACAAATACAGATATTATCTGCCTGGCTTTAGGACTCTGCTGAGGTGGGCTGCTCCTACAGCCTCTGAGCCCGGGCCCAGCCTGGCAGGCTGGCTTGGCACTAGCAGTGAGTGCGGTATGTGTACCTTCATGCTGTTTACATCATTTGTAATGTCCTACTTCTTTGCTCAAAATCTTAACAGATGTCACCTTTTCTCTCTAGCTTGATACTTGCCATCCCCCAGAAGTGAATCTGATCACTTCTTCTTATGTATAAAGCTTTACATACAATCCTGACTTACGTTTATCACCTTATGGGTATTTGTTCACATATCTCAGGGGACTTCATAATGTAGTTCTGGTATAATCATTAGGACAATTCAAAGACACAAAACCAGATAATATCTGGATTTGTTTGGTATTTCATTTGCTACGGGGGGGGTGGGGGGAGAGAAAATTCCCACTTCCTGCAATGCTTATTTGCCCCTCTGCTCAACTCTGCACTCATGGACCATGAAAGGGCCTTATGTATAATTCTATAAAAATTACCCAATATTACAACTTTTGGCAAAATGTAGTGAATCTGAGGCTTCACCCGTTAGCTAAACAGAGCAAAAAATTATCTTTTGATTGAGGTTCATGTATTAGACTTTGTCTACTTTTTGTGAATGAAGCACATTAACAACCTGAAGGTTTCACTCGTAATCATTTTTCAAGGACATTCTATTGGGAAAAGAATTTGTATTTAAGAGAAGGCAAATTAATGAATATTAACTGGTTTCAAAGCCCATGGTGGATCATTGTTGAAGAATTTATTAATAAGGTATCACATAAAGGTATTAGAGCTTGGTCACCACTGAATGCTCAGGTCCCAAAGTAATTTAATATCTGCAGAGAAATAAAGTGAGAATCATGCTCTGTATGGGAGGAAGCAGACAGGTGTCTGTCATAATTTGGTGGGTTGTTTTCAAGATGGCCGAAAAGAGACTGCCTATGCTAACAACTGTTTTCAGGGTAGTGCCCTCCTGGAATTTTCAAGATCAAGGTGGTATAAAACCCTCATTACAAGTGAGCAAGGTTTGTGAGCAGAAAGGCAAAGAATAGTTAATATTAATGCAGGCCTCATTTATGATTGTTTTGTGTCTTTGAATTGTCCTAATGATTATACCAGACCTACATGATGAAGTCCCCTGAGTAGCTGACCAAGCTAACTTCCAATCAGGAGCAGTGCCTGGTGCCAACCCTTAAAAATAAATACTTGTTCACCTGTAAAGATAGTTGGTGAGGGAAGATCTTATAGTTTTACTTGGTGTCTCAACCTATGAAATACTCTAAGGCTGACCACTTCGATCATGGGGTCCATCTAGTTGACAGCAACACAAAGTCGTGTCCCCTGAAGTAGGGTATTACCATTTGTATGCCATAAGCGTCTATCGTGGAGTGTGGGATGGTTTGCGTTTTGGACACGTGGCAGTTAACTGGATAATGGTAGAGGAAGTTAGCTGTAGAGGGGACCTTTGCCTCCTTGTTTGACAGATGGAGAAACTGAGATCCCGAGAAGCCTCACGATTTAGCCTTGGCCAGCTGTATGCAGACTAGGAGCCCACATCCCTGACGTGGTGTTGTGTTCTCTTCCTGACC